GGCGTGCGCGTGCGCATCGTAGGCGGCGGGAGAAAGTGCGCGCCGGCCCGCCATCACCGCGAAGGAGGAGCCGCGCTCGGGGGGAGCAGGCGCGCCCCCAGACACGCTCAGTCCTGACACGCTCTCGGCGAGCTCCGACATGCGACTCTCCTCCAACGTCTGGAAAAAATATCAATATACCATTCAGTCATTGTATATTACTGCCATACTCAAGGTGTAACAAGACGTATGCGATACTAACTGTATCGGCGGCATATCCATTGGTAATGTCGCTGCGTGGATTAGATTTGAGTATAGACTTGGGTGGTTGCTGCAGTTGCTGTTGCTGCGGCAGAGACTGCTGTTGCTGAGCCGATTGCTGTATCTGCTGCGAGTGGTGCATAGAATGTTGCTGCTGCACGTGTTGCGAGTGCTGTTGATGAAGGTGCTGGGAGTGTTGCGCCAGGTGTTGTTGTTGAATCTGATGCGCATGAGTCGACTGTTGTTGCTGCATATGGTGGGAGTGCTGCGCCATTTGCTGTATTTGTGACGTGTGCTGCTGCATTTGCTGCGAGTGCTTATCCAGCTGCTGCTGCTGCTGCTGTTGCATGTGCATCTGGTGCTCGGGCGACGGCGATCTTGATGCCGATCGTGAGTCGCTCTCCTCGTCCGCACCAAGTTCTGCGCCTCCACCCTCTTCCTGTTAATCGGAAATAAATTAAACATGAAAATATCAATTTATATATAACAAATTATTTGTGATATAAATTGAGGTAAGGCGTAGTTACATGATCGTGCTGCGTGGCGCGTCGCTCGAAGTCCCGCTCCAACTGTAGCGCGCGCAGTTGCTGGTTCTGCACCGGAGTGCGGGACGCGCCCAGCGCCAGCAACTGAGCTATAGTCGCGTCCCTGCAACACCCATTCATATTATTAATTTTTCTTGAGAATAGAAAAAAAATATAGAGTAAAGAGAAAAAGTTGTTAATTAAAGTATCATAAATGTATTATATATCATAAAATTTCAACGCTTGATGCGACATGTTTGAAGGGAGTTATAGATTACTTATGGAGAGTGAGCGTGCACATTACCTGCGTGCACGTGCTTGTACGCGGCGCGCCTCAGCCTGCCGCTCGCGCTCCTCGCGCTGCCAGGGGTTGTGGGCGGGCTGCTGCCGCGCCGCGCCCCCTGCGCCCGCCGACCCTCCAGCTGGGTACACTGACACCGCGGGTGGCTCCAGGGCGCTAGCCACGTACCGCTCTGTGCAGAAGCACCGACACTTATTACAAACATTTTATTAAATTGAAGCTATAGCGTCACTTCAATATGTTATTTTTAAACATCATAGAAGTAGAATGTAAAAAAATCTGGTACCATCTTCAGGCTGGACTGTGGTGGTACTGTGCGACTGCTGCAATTGTTGTATCTGCTCGTCTTCCGTCTCTGACCGCCGCGCGCCCTGAGAAAATTGATTTTTTATTAATTTATAGTAATTTAGAAAATTTATTTAAATCTTTTTTTATTGCATACCTGTGGCTTGGGAGCAACTGGAGGTTGTGATCTTTGTGGCGACGGCGGGCCAGGAGGATGCCAATCGTACCTTTAAATGTATGTAATAATGATTACTTTGTATTTTATTGCGTACATACAAATAATAGAATTTGTATAACCAACTGCATTAAATAATTAATTTACTGTTATTGAATATTTTTTACTAAATATTTGACAACTGACCTTTGTGGTTGCTGATGTTGATTGTGATACATGTTGGGCGAGCTCTGCAGCTGCGAGTGCGCGTACTGCTGGTGCATGTTCTGTGAGTGAGCGGGATGAGCGGGGTGCGCGGGGTGCGCGGCGGGCAGCTGCGGTGACCCCTGCTGCGGGTAGTGCGCCGCGCTCTGGTGGATATGCATCTGGCTCTGGCTGAACTGGCCCAGGTGCTGCCCCATCGCACCCTGCTGGCTCATAGGACTCATGTGATGTGCAGCTTGATTTTGGTGCAATTGATTCAATTGCAGATCGAGCTGACTCGATTGATATCCAGTTTGTGCCATTTGATTCTGGATATGGTTGGCCTGGTGGGCGATCTGATTCTGGTGCTGGTGCTGCATTTGCTGGGGCGACATCTGATGTGCGAGCGGAGACTGGTGTTGGTTGAGCTGCGCGTGCTGGTGCTGGTGCGGCAGCGTGTGCTGCTTCTGCTGCGAAAGAAGCTGCTGCTGCTGCTGTTGCTGCTGCCTCCTCGTGACTTCTTCTGACATCTCCGCCAACTTAGCCGCTCGGATACTCGCAGAACTTGCGCTGTTAATCTGTACGAAGAAAAAAATAACAATTCGATTTTTTTTTTATATAATATAATAAAGGTGAAAAGATTTTTTTGTCGTATCTAGTATATTCCAAATACAAACCTGTTGATGTGGCGAAGGTTCCGACTGCGGCTCAGAGCCCGCTGCTGAAAAATGAGCGGACTGTGGTCTATTGCCAGTCGTGCGGTAATTCCACCATCTGTATACAAAGAACAAAGAATAACTCAAACCATAATAAAACAATGTATATTGTTAAAACTTTTTCAAATAATTATAATCGACAGATAAACTATATTGATATTTAAAATTCAGTAGCATAGTGAGTGTACCTGTCTTGGTGTCCCTGTGGGTGCGAGTTTACAGAAGAGAGGTTCTGGTAGAAGGCGTCGCCCTGTGCGGCGGCAGTCAGGTTGTGGCTGCTGCGCGACTTGCCCGCCCAAGCGCTGCCGCCCGACTGGCTCGAGCCTACGGGACTGAGGGTGCCACTGGAAAATAAGTTATACAACACATTTAGAATTACAAATTTACAATTGCACTTTATCATTGCCCTGAGCAAATATCATAAGAAAAGAAAGTAAAGAGTGGCAATATTTACGTGTGCGAAGGCGCGGGCTGGGGCTGTGATTGTGGCGCGATGTGAGCTGGGTGGGCGGGGTGCGCACTGGGCGGGGCGTGGTGCAGCGCGGGCGTACTCTTGCTAGGCTTTACGGGCTCCGCAGCCAGCCGCGATGGCAGGTCACGTTCTGACGCGCGCCGGAGAGCACCTCCTAAAGAATTAACCTAATTAGTTTATGAACTATACGATTTTGTAATTCGATTTGATGATGATACAAAAACATTTCTAAGTATAAATTTTTGTACAATCATCTACAGTTTGCACAGTAATCCCACGAAATATGTCAAATTTGAGTTGCAATCGAAAAAGAGAAAAAATAATTCGTAAATAATAAGGGCATGCGACAGTCCCTTCTGTTTAAGATATACTGTGCCAGAATTTAAAGTGTGGTTGGTATTTACACTAAAAAAGGACGGAAAAATAAGACTTTAAATAACTTAATAATTCAGTTGCTTCAAAAATCATTTTAAGGCATAAAATAAGCAGTAAATCACAGTACGACGACGACAGATAAATAAAACAGTGCCATAAAAATTAAGGCTAAAACCTGCAAATAAAATAAATCCAAAAATAATTCAAACATGCAGCAGCAAAAATCAAAAAAAGATATTAAAGTGAGTGCGGTGGTCTAGAACACACCTATTTCATGCGATTGTGTGTCTTACGCGGTTGTCCGAGCTGGTCGCCGAATTTGTTCCTCATTACTTGCGAGGTGTTGAGAGCTGCAGAGCAAACTGTTGGGGTTTTTACACTGCCACTGCTAATGTCCGGACAACTTTGAGCCACTTTTTCATACGAGTGTCGACTGACATTTAAACCCCTTTCTGTGGACACGTCCAGTAACGATGCATGCTTGTGTGTGACAGCGATCACTTGTGGCGGTTTTAGACCAGTAATTTTTTCACAGCTGCCGCTTTCCGCTATATAATCTTTGCTAGATTTAGTCCGAACAGAAGTCATACTGGACTGATTCGACTTCAGTTTGATAGTATCGAGTGTTATTGTTCGCGGCTTCTTTTCAACAAATTCGTTGAAAATAATACTACCGTTTTGAGATGCGTTTTCGGTTTGTTCCTCTGAAGGTAGATTCGGTAATTCAAATTCGTTCCCTTGTGCGAGAGTATCCTCGCTGCCTCTCGAGCCGTATCTTGACCAGTCCTCCAGCTGTATCAGGATGCTCTTTACTTCGTCATCAGACATTTTAGTATCTTTAGTGTAGCTAGTATCGGTTTTAGTGTGATCAAACTGTAAGTCAGCCAAACTGGTGCTAATCGGTAAACAGTCTTTTAGTTTAGATCTCGTATCATCACGGGCGCAAAGGTTGGGACTAGATTGACAGTTCCGCTTGTAGCTTTTGACACAGTATTTCAAGTTCATTTCATTAAAGCGTTTCGTCAAAGCTTTAACTTTCCCAAAAGCGGGTCGGTATTCATCGGGCGACTTCCACGACTTTCTGTCGATGCTGTCTAATATTTGCTTTGCGTCATGTTGAATAACATTTGTAATAACATTATCTACACGCTCGTATTTTTCATTCATAGTTTCATCGAATGATTCCGAAGTGGAAAAAGTGGACGGTCCCTCGGTATCTTCCGATTTACTAGAAATTGATTTTGACATATTGAATAATGTAGACTTCAAACGACTATGGATGCCTTCTATATTTTTGGATTCTTTTTCGAGATTCAAACTTAGATCTTTTTTTCTTTCTATTAAAGACATCGACTCCGATATAGTTTGAGTGGCCTCGTGCTCGGGGGAGGAAGACGTCTGGCACTCGGCATCCGCGGTCACCGGTTTTTTTTCATCGCATTGATCTATAGACACAGACGGCAGAATCCTTCGGATTTTTGGCGTAGCAACTCTCTCGTCGGCGCAATCGTTTTCAAATATAACAGGTTCCGAGTTGGGCTCGTCAATGTAAGGTATCTGCTGTGCGTCGGGCTGCGGTGTGCGGCAACACTCGCAGGCGCTGACGCACTCGTCGCCGGCGGTGCAGCGCCGCCGGTAGCTCTCCGCCTCCCTTGCGCGCGCATTCAACAAGTCCAGCGTAAGCTTCGGCTCGATCGGCGACATTTTCGGCGGCAAGCAAATAGCCTCGCCGCTTTCACTCGACTGATCGTAGTTTGCGGGGGGCTCGGGAATCGGCGGCGCTTCTTCGCGATCTCTATGAGGGCTCGGGGCCTGGGTTTGATTATGTCTTTGTAGTTCGTCGAAATCCTCGCAGGTAAATGTAAAAATAGGTATAGGGCGCGCCGAGGCGGGGCCGCTCTTGAGTTCGATCGGACAGCCCGGAGTTTCCGGGGACAGATCGTCTTGCAGTTGATTATTTTCTCTATCCAATGTTATAATCAACCTGGGAATGGAACCGTGATAGTGATGGTGACACTCCTCGCTATCATCCGTACTCGACTCGGTAGATTCATCTCTAAGATGAAATGGATCATACATCGGGCGACGACCGTATCCTGGAATTCGAAACACGCATGAACACTGGGCAAGATACAAAATGGTCAAATTCCAAAAGCCAAAAATAGATATCGCAACAAAAACAAACAAACCATCACCTTCAAACGGAAATGTCAAAACCATAAAATAAAATGAAACTGAAAACAAAACAAAATAGTACTTAAAACGAGAAGAAAACCATGTTAGAACACAACGAAACCGGACATTCGTAAAACTGAAAAAAATTGATAAAACACAAAAGAAGCTGGCAAATATGTATATGAGTGCCTGCGGTGGCGAGCTCAGTGAGGGGCGCGGCGGGGCGCAGCAGCGCGGGGTGCGGGTTGGTGTACGTGCCCGAGTTGCGTCGCCCGCGCGCCTCGTACTGCACCTCCTCGTACTCTGCACAGTCAACTCACATCACTTACACAACCTTTCTATATGAACAAGTATACCAACAAGCTTTTTATAAACTATTTTATGTATTACCTTGACGCTGGTTGTACGCAGGCTGATGTAGGAGCGTGGCGAGGCCGTGCAGCACAGCGCCCTGCTTTGCCACTTCCAGCGTCACCGTAGGTCCGGTACGGACAAGATATTCTGCTGCCTATAAATATCGTATTCGAATATTAATTTACTATGAAAAAATATAACCAAGAGAAGTAAAGATTTATGACTGTACGTGTGTTGCATGTATGTGACCTTTTCCTGTGTGATGCCGACGAGCGAGTGTCCGTCAACGGAGAGCAGCTGGTCGCCGGCCGCCAGCCTGCCGTCTGCCGCCGCCGCGCCGCCCGCCACCACCGACTTTATATAGATGCCCAGCTTGCTCTGACCCGCACCCTGGTATAAAACATTAATTTGTTAACAAGACATATTTAAGCTACGTTCGTTAACATGAAACAATTTTATAAAAAATGACACTCTTTAAAATAGTGAATTTATATGAGTATTTATTACCGAAAGCATGTATAAATGGTATAAGTGTTTTGTATACACACTTACACAACATGTGAAGTTTTTGAAATATATTTCACGAGAGTAGTATATAGTGTGTGAAGTGATCGAGCATATACCTTGGCAGCGACAATACTGAGCCCCATGCCGGAGGAGTTCTTGTTGAGGCGCACGATGAGCGGGCGCGTGTCGTGTCGCGGCTGCGCGTGCGCGGCGTGCGTGGCGAGGTAGACGGACCAGGCGCCGAGCGCGCGCGGCTGGTGCACGAGCCGGCAGAGCGCGCCTCGCTGGAGGGGCGCCACGAACTCCGCCAGCCCGGGCGGCACCCCGCGCACCACCTCCGCGCTGAACCCGTCCCCGGGGATCAGAAGCGCCGCGCCCAGCCACCGGCTCTCCTCTGCGCGGATCTATCATTCAATCACGGTTTAGTAAACAACATTAAGCCAAATCTCATGGAGACTAGGTTTTTTTTGATTCACATCACAGTTTCGTCGTTGGTATAATGTAGTACGTTTTTACCTCTCTGCCGTCGGCCCTGTATAGTTCGTCTGCAAGTGCGCGGGCGTGCGCGACGGCGGCGTCCACGATGTCGGGCGGGGCTATGGGAGCGAGCAGCGCGCGCACTTGCACCGAGTTCAGCTTGACGCACGCCGACAGCGTCGCGCGCACCTCCTCCGCCGTGCGGTACTCGCCTTGGATCAGCCGAGCTTGAAAAATTGTTAAATTATAAGTTAAATTAATTAAACCAATTAATAAGATAAATTTCACATCTGAGTTTCACCCATATATCGAATGTTACAAAAATGTTTTTTACCGGCTTGGTGCGTGCGCGCGAGATGGCAGTCGGCAGCGAGCTCGAGGCCCTGGCGCTCCGCCCAGGCGGCCAATAGCGCCAGGCGGGCTGATAGCGCTGCGCCCCAGCGAGCGCTCACCGTACCCGGCTCCAACACCAACTAATGAGTTAGAACGTACACATGTGAGTTAACGATACTCTACAAGGAAACGAACACGAAAACCATAAAATAACTCTTTGCCAAACTGTATATAATAAGTAGTTACCTTGTTGAAGCAGTATGCGTTGATGTAGTGGAAGAGGTGTGAGAAGAGCTGTATGGTGAGCGCGGCGTTGACGCGGCAGCGACGCAGCAGCACCATGGCGGCGGCGAGGGCTTGCAGCGTGGGCGCGGTGGCCTCGGTGGCGTCGCCCGCCTCGCCGCCCTCGCCCGCCGGACTGTTCAGTGTCACCAGCGCGCGCCCCAGCTCCTCTTGGAAACACGTCACTAGATTGCTGGACAAATAATACTGTTTTAATGCCACTTTATAAATACATGTTGTTCAAAGAGTGTAAATTTAGGCAGTATATGTGTTGCAAAATGCGATTAGCCAAACATTTTTCCGTGTATCTGGGAATTGGTCTCAATTTTTTACCCGTAAGTTTTAAAACCGTAGTTAAAAAAATCACGAATAAAGAGCTCTTATTCTGTTAAGTTATGAAGTGTAAGTATACCTAAATGCGTTTTGTACAGTCTGCGGCAGCAGTTCCTGTGCCTGCGTGGAGAAGGAGGAGATGTGTCTGTCGCACTTGAGGAAGTGCAGCAGCTCACTCGCGTTGGCCATCCAGAACGCTTGCGCCGCCGAGTCCGTGCACCGCTCCTATGGAATTATATTACTTTAACATACAATAAACAGATAATGTTAGTTATTTATAATAGTTTTAATGGATATAAGGGAACCTTTACATGAGACTTTTATAAAATATTTACAATTTGTTATAGTTTTGTTGTTGTTACCTGTACGGTGGCGTGTATGAGCGTAGCAACGTGGTGCAGGAAGGCGGTCAGCTTGTGCGCGCGCTCTGTTGGCGTCAGCTCCGGTCGGTAGTGCGTAGAGGCGCGGTATCTGACGAGGTCGATACACACTTCGCATTAAACATCAACAGGAAATAGTATTAGTTAGTATATAAATAAAATTCAAACCCGCTTTAAAATGACTTCAACAATTTGTGCTCAATAAAAGAGAGACGCAAGCGTATTTTACCCAAAAATATGTAAAACCTTTTAAATACATATTTTTTTAAATTAAGCTTCAAGTACCTGGCACACAAATATAATGTGTATACTGGTGCTAATTTGAAGGCGGGCGCGTGCGGGTCGAGCCTGGTGATGACGGCGGCGAGGAACTGCGCCTGCCCCGCCTCAGGGAACTCCAGCACGGCCGGCAGGATCGCCTCCTGGCCGGGCCGCGCACACGTTGACACCCTGCACACACACATACATCAATATACATTATTAAAATACTGTGAAAATACGACATTATTACATTGTATTCGTTTGAATTCATTTAAAAATTCATCACAAATTATAGCAACAAAAGTTGTGAACATTTAATTCGTAATGTGTTTCACAAAATATATAATTTCGAATAAACAACTATCGACTATTTAAAAATTTATGATTCATAACAAAAAAGGACGACTTGGAGTAAGATACCGCCGCTGGGCTTGCACATCTGGACTTTTCTCACCATTAAGGGCAAGCTATTTTACATGTTGGAAAGGACACATTAGTTCAACACTATTATCACTTAATTATTTTTCATCTAACGTATTATTATATACACTGTATTTATTGTAGCACTTACCTCTCGTCTATAAAAATTAAATTTCAATTTATGTACTTTTTATTTTATATATAAAAGATAACCAACGTAAATGCAGTGTTGACCTAAATTTAAGTGCCAAAATATTTCAAGCAACAAAAACTTTCCATACCTGTTATCGTGTCCCGAACCACCACTCTTAGCGCTGCAAATGCTCTTCGTCTCGACGTTACCGTCTAAATCAAAGGTGGTCTCGTAATTATCCTTGTAATGTGAGCCGGTGCGGCTGACGGCTGCGCTTTGCTCCTGGTCGGCGTAGCCTGCGGCGGAGGGCTCATCTCTCATATAGTCGTCCTTGGAGTCGCTCAGGTGCTGCGACATCATGAGCGACTCGTTGTCCAGTTTGAGCGTGTTGTTGTTGTAGGGCGACATGGTGTCGTTGCCGTCTCTATAAGCGAACGCGTCGTGCGAGACGGGGCTGGCGGTGCCCGGGTACTCGGTGTCGTTGGTCACGTTCGCGTTCGAGTTTGTGTCGAGGTCGGCGTGGTGGGACGCGAGCGAGGTAGGGGACATCGCGCCGCTATTCTCCGCCGACGTCGGCGATCTAACGCGTTAAAGGTAAAACAAGCGTATGTGGTGAGCCAGTGACAGAAACATGCAACGAAAAAAAAACAACAATGAACGAACATAATAACAAAATAGTAGAAAGAGGTGATTAACAAGCAACAATTTTAAATCTATACAATTGGAGTTAGAGCTTAAATATATAAAAAACAATGTTGCAGTGTACAAATGAAACATCTACTCGAATTTACATGACTATAGGATGGAAATTTCTACAATAAATTGAACATTTGTCTACAACATTTAAAAGATGATTGAACGACTTCAATAACTGACCTGTCGTATATGGAGCCGGAGCCGTAGTTCTGTGACTGTGCCAAGTTCCTGTTCATGAGATTCTCCTGCGCGGGGTCCACAAAGCGGAAGGTAGACACGCGACCGAACTTCACCAGGCAACCGTGCTAAGAAAGCCCATTAAAAATATATTATGTATATTCTATGAATTAACATCAAAATATACTAATTTAACAAGAAATTTTATCATATATATGTATGTATATCAATGGAGTACGTAGATAAAACGTTTTAAAATAATTTAGACAAAAACTGATATGTTTAGCCTTAGTCATAATTAATAAAAATTATGAAAATAAAGAAGAAATGATAAGTTTCACGATATCGTTTCCATTTATTCTAACGGTTATATTTGCAGTATTTAACTGCAATTTACCACAGTTGTAGTCACAGAATTACTTTGGGTTAGTGAATTGGCGACGACCTTTATACGTAGGGTCATTACGAATAGCTAGGGCTGTCACAGTTTTGACTTTAGTTCCAATTGTTCATGTGTTAATAACAGGCCGTCGTTTCTTTTCATCATATAAGAAATTAAGGGTTGCAAGTCCTTGACGTCACTTTTTTTTATTCGTTCGGGTCTACAATTATTTTAAGTTGGCAGCCTTACGTTAGTTAATATGAAAGTAAAAGCCACGTCAATAAAGTACGAACATAAGCTCAGTTAATTAAATGTCGAGTACAACAAAACGACTCAATAATTTTGTACATGTTATTGGAAGCATTAAGGCTAATTCTCGAAAGGTCGGTAAGGCGCTGGCGGGAGGTCGTAAATAGGGTGACTGGGTAAACTATTTTCTGCTAACATTAAAGTAGAATATTGGCTGTATAAACTTGACATATTACCCTTGATAATCAAATATTTACAAAAATTACCAAAACATAAATATCTTATAATAATTTTTTATCTATATCATCGTCTGAATGAAATCTTATTCATTATTTAACTGGTTTCCAAATGGACGAAAAAGTTTTGGCTATAGTTGTCTAAAAGTCATTCTCTCGTCGCGTTAATAATTTAATATAGTGCCTTAGGAAATATACGGCGGCAAGTCTGATAGCCTGCGAAATGTAGGGGCGGGGTTCGGTGACGTTATAATATGCTTTCAAAACTTTTTACACGATGATATTTCTATGTAAACAGACAAAAGGTGTATATCTAACCTCATATAATGAATACGAATGTTTAGTTTAGATTGATGGAAGGATGTTAAAAGATAATTCCAGAGCGGCGCAACGGATATTGCTGAAATTTAGTATTAGATGGACATAAAATGGTCTAGAAAGACACATTGGCTACCAATAATTATTTATTTAATTCCACACGGACGAAGTCGCGGTAAAAAGCCGGTATGTAATAAAAAAATGTGTAAATTGTAATAATAATTGTAGTAATGATATACTTTTTAATTAAAATTGTGTTAATTACTTCAACTCGTGCAATACACTTTTCATATGGTTGATATGCTAGAAAAATAAATATTTCTGACAGTTAATGTAAGCAAGGTACGAATGTTAGCTCTAGTAGAAGTGTAATTGCATATTTGAGTAGCATAAGTGTGAATTCATTTGCAACACGTACGTACCTATGTAAAATATAAACCGTACGTGCATCGCAATATTTTACACTACGAAACTTTAACTGGGTACTAAAAAAAATGTCAAAGAAGAGGATACATTTTTAAAAGCACGAAAAATCCAAAGCAAATTTCAAGAGGCAAAAAATCTATTTGATATAAAACTGACCGACTTTTAAATGTTCAGGAGCAATTTTCAAAACATTTTATGAAATATTTTTTTAAAAAGACCTGTTAAAACAAAGGGTGTGCCTTTAATAATCATATACACTACACAGGTATTTTAAATACCTTTTACAAGTGATGAAAGGACGTGAGGCTACGAGCTGTCTTATCCTTCTAGATTAGATGGATAACTGTTAGCAAATAGTACAACTAAGACGTTGTTTCTACGCCTCAATATACGAGTACGAATATACAATATGAGGTTTGTTGTATAGCTAAAGTGTAATGATGAATAAATCATAATGGTCACTAAGTGTACCTGCAATCGCTGCGTGTGGGTGACCCTGCGTCCGTTAAGGTAGACCTGTGCGTCGGGGTGCAGCGGTGTTACGCTGTAGCCACCGTCTGCAGGCGCAACCACGCAGTGCCGCGGCTGGATTGACGGCCCGTACAGCTGCAGGCCGGTGCCGTTGCCAGAACCCACCTGAACACATATACAAGAACTTGTGAATCACTTTGTGGACGACTTTATTATCCATAGTAATTTATCCGCAACAAAAATATAAGTTGCAAATTTTCACACCTTACAAAAGTAATAAAACTGTAATAAAATTTAGAAAAATTAAAAAGATTGGATTTATTTGAGTGCAACTTGTCATTCATTATTCAAAAAAATCTTAAAAATTCAGTCATTCCCGGACGCTGCCGGGCTCGCATGGCTAATGTTTTAACAAGCAAATATTCGCCTTCACATGTCAAGGTGAACGAAATTCCACGAGTACGAAAGTAATAAATAATATAAATCCTTTTTATACGAATGTGTTCTATTCCAGAGAGCAATAAAAATATTCAACGCAGTCAATTTGTAATGTATCATAATAAAAACATATTATATGAAACCTGAGTACTCGACTAGATATGAATAAAATACATTAGAAAGCTTGTAAAGCGGGCTTAAGGCTATGATATGTAATTCTTAGTGCTTTAAACTTTTATCTATTATGTACAGTTATAAATGTAAAAAGCTAAAGCGGTCAACAGCTAGTTTAAAAATATTTCAAGCTTTAAAAGCTTTTAATGTTTTTTTTATCTTGACCAGAAATCGAAATAATCAAAGCATTTTCAATTGTAAAATTACAAATAACGTGCATGTATATGTAGATGTAAGAATATATGTAAAAGCGAGAGAAGTGTGTCAGGACAGAGTCAATGGTGGTCTGTGCCTACCCCAATAGGTAACGGACATAAATGATTATGTATGCTCTTATGATTGACCTAAAATATCAATGAAGGGGGAAGGTGGAAATGGGTAATGAAGCAAGAAGATTACACACTAAAACTCAAATCGTGTAGCTTTCAAATATCATATATCCACGTCCAAGGAAATGAATCCGAGAGCGCCGAGCCGAAAGCTCTTATCCGGAGGCATTACGTTACCTAATCAGATTAAACATATAACAAAGTAATGCTAAGGGTAAGTCTCCACTGTTGAAATACTTATATTACAACAATATTGCCATCCCTCTCATCTCTTTATGCAGATAGAAATAGCAATAATGTTTCAAAACAGGCGTGTATTTGAAAATTCACGGAAACATCTACCTAATTAAGTTTTTAACCTTCGATTCGATGACTATTATAATATATGTCAAGGAAAATGCTATGTCCTAACAAAGCTTTTTTACATACCTGAACCAATGAAAGTAATATTATAAAAACCGTAATTATAAGTTGACACGACATAAACATAATTTCCTATTGCACATAGTATAATATACGCTCACGCCAAACCCATTTTTTTATTAGTCATCACTATTATTAATGAACGTGTAAAGTGACCAGTCGATACATACATAGAAAAAAAAAGTTTTTTTTAGAAATTTAATGAAATTAATTTTACAAAGTTATGTTGAACAATATCTGTGTCACGACTATACGTGGCAACTCACATAATAAAGACGAACGCGCTGTGGTGCTGTTTATACAGCACAATTGTTAAATTTGAATTTATTTGAGTTACAAACTTTCCCATGTATGAGCAAATATTTCAGTTTTCCATTTTGTATTTAACTTGTTAGGATGTTGTATTTAACTTTATAAGTTAGAAAATAAATTCTAGGGATGTAACAATTCTGATATGCATTGTAACAGTTTTTTATACGAGAAAAGCAGCAACTTCGATCATAAGTTGTGAGGTATACTGAAGTTTGAGCCATACAACTAACGTTGAGTTACTCTAATGTGATATAACAGATGTATCGTATTGTCACTAGAATGCAGGTTACCTCTAGCACATCGGCGAGTCGCATGCGGCGTCCGTTCTCTAGCGCGGAGCCGTCGGGTGCTACTTCGACCAGCAGAGGTTCCGTGCCAGGCCGCGCAGCACCACCCGCCTTCTTCTTGCGTCGCCGCGGCTGCGAGTCTGCCGGCCGCCGCCGCACGTGAAACATGATGGAGCCTGTGGAACAACAACAACATTAATTTACATTATAATATTGCAGTACATTATTAAGAATTAAAAATTCTAAATCTGCCGACTAGGTTCTCAACTTATCGTGGATGGTTTAGTCGCCATGGTTCAACATAGTAGAATATATACGGCATGTCATGACATGTGCATTTGAGGTTTGTAAAGATTAAGGGATCGGAGCGGTATACCTCATGTCTGCAGTGGCAACAGAGATGGTAAGAAATGTAGACGTAATTAGACATGAGTGATATTTCATGATGGTTTGTGTCGTGGGGACTGTTCATAGGGTGTATGATTAAGTATAAAAAGCAAAATCGATGCGACCTCGCTCAAGCTGCACTTATAGCCACCATAAATTCCAGTACAGCATTCTCCACTAAGCCATTCCGCGGTAATTGCGTTGTCGCGTCGTTTATTTTTTTTACACCAAACGGCAAAAAAAGCAATAAATTTACGACGTATAGGGACGAGTGTCGATAAATGGCGTACATAACAAGATTTGAGAGGTTTAGAGAAGCGTTCGATTCGCGAGGGAGTCGCGTGGAGCGTTGGGCTGCAGGAGAGTGTGAGTATGGAGTGGGGCTGGGGAGTTGCCACTGTCAACATCATTAGCGCTTCTGGGCCGCTCTGAGTCGATTTTGACAGGACTATTTAAAAAACCTGAATTTAATAAGGACGATAAGACATAAGGCGTAATTAAGCATCTTTTTTTTTAATAATTTGATTGCTAATAGACCTTAAATTAAAACAAATGTAACCAATATAGATGGAATATTACTCGTATAGTTTTATTGGCCGAGTTACCAAATGGCTTTAATTAGCACGCATGTTTGATGTCATCGAGTCTTGTTTATTAGGGCTACACACGAAATATATAAATTCAATATTAGATAAAGATAATTTAATATCCGTATGGAACGAAAATAAGCTGAAATACAACTTTATAATGCTCAACCGTGTCTGCCATACTAGGTATATTTTAACAATCAATCCAAATAAATACGACGATTACTCGAAATCAATACCAAAGATGTTATCTTTTGTTATTTCAACCGAAGGAGAATGCGTCTTTGTTTGAAATCGGGAATGCTCAAGTTCTAAACGAATTCGGAAATGTCTTTTATACTAGACAGAATCCTATCTTACAGCATTTAACATAAAGGAAATTCCAATGAAACGTGTGAATTCTGAAGTGTGGGTAAAGCAACCATGAGGCAACCTGACAGCATTAAAAAAACAGAAATGATATGAAAATAAATAAATAGTGTGCTTACGTCCTTAAAATATTGACAATAAAACTTATATCTCCGTATCATGTGGTCTAACATCACAAATTAAAAAAAAACTAAATAAATAGTAGTTCAACAATGGCCAACATTTACCGAGTAAAAGCTCCATGTGACCGTAACGTAGTCTTGAACTGAATGATCGATTGAAAAGCATCCTCAAGGGTATAATTCATTCGCATGGTCTGCGAGTGTGAGTCTCGGCAACTCGCGACTAAACGAAACGACATTACCACCCTCGTACCCCCACGGCAATATCGTTTAAGGGTTAGATGTAGCAAAGTCAAACGTTGATAAATACTGGATAAGTTTGTCTCTCTACTTTAAAAGGTGGAGTATAAATACATATAACAGATAGTTGACAGTCATAGCCTTGAAGAAGAGGCAAGAGACGGACATTTCAAAGATGGTTTAGACACTATAAAATTAATTTATACTTATATTTTAGGTAACGACCTCTTTAGATAAATGTAATTGAGTTCTATATTAAGCAGGCAGTTAAAATTGTCTTATTATATTCCGTAGCACGAACGCTGAGAAGATATCGTACAAATTTTTGTACCTCTCTTTGTTTCGTTGGCCTAATTAAATGTCAAGCGCTTGTAATTATACGAGTAGTTGTAGCCTTTAAATTCTATATCACAGACATTAAATAAAGTTTGTTTAATAAATAAACTATATATAAAATATACCTTCATATAAATGTATGGACTGTACATATGTAGCATACAAGTTGATGCAAGTTCGCGACATATCTACCTAAGTAAAGAGCTTTTTACGTTACCTCAAAAAAAATTATCCACCTGGAGTATGTATGATTAAAACAATTTGGCACATCCTTAGGGTGAGAATACAAACATATATGACAGTCTAACCATCGCATGAATTAATTAGGCTCCGTGGTGGCGACGGCGCCGACCTATGTGACCTTTGCACCACATTTTACCTGTTGCGTCTTGATCACTATCAATCCACGACCTTATAATAAATAAAGTGGCTTTCCTTAGGAATTGGACAAGCAAGCATCCGATTTCCCTTTGCAAGTACCCCGAATTTATTATTTAAGTAAAGAAACGAGTCTTACTACAATGGTATGCGTTACATATTAAAAATGAGATAAAAAAAAAATAATATCACAAATTTTCTTTTCCAATATATCGACAATGTTAGAGCATAAATAGCATAATGAGTTATTCTTTATTTTTAAACTCCATTATAACGGCTTAGTGATGAAGTCAATAAAGCGTTAATATTGTGACACAATATGCAGCCAACTGTAAATTAAAAGTTAAAAAAGCAATATCACACCATGCAGTTATTTTATCTAGCCGCACATAGAAAAAATATTAAAGAAAATTTAAACCCAATTTAATTGGTACCACAATCCTGGTTTTAAACACAGTACATACCTATCGTAAAGTTTTGTAATGCACGACACAACACAACACTATTCAGTTCTACGCTTTACTAATACTAGAAAATAAATGAAAGAATTGAATTTAGTACACAATAGTTATAAACAGGAAAAGCATGTATCTTAGCAGATCAATAGATTGTTATGATAATACCTTCCGTATTACATTACTTTATTAAAATATTTATAAACAAGAAATATCCCGTAAACCACAATAGCTTAAAAAATTTGCAAACCACACATATACATGTATTAACACTTTATTGATAATGTTTGTATGAAAGAATTTCCTTTTGTATGAAAAGCCTCTGTTTCACGTGAATATGCATTTTATAACTTTTTTTCTTGATGTATAAAAATATGATATAATACAAGTTACAATTGTAATCGAAACTGTAAATTTATCCAGCTTCTGAAGACACTGATTTGATTAGAGGGGAGATAAAGTTAGGGAAAATATTGGCATGAGTCCCTCCCTGAAGAAAATAAATCCCCTGTTCAGTGGACTTGATAAAGTCTTGTGATATCAATAAAAATGTATATACATATTTATGTTTGGAAATCGGAAAGAAATTAAGAGCGACATTATAATGTTTTTTTTTCGGATATACGATATTGGAAGTAAAGTATATTATTTTGTTTAATTGTGAGATCTAAGTAATAAATCAAATACAATACGAACTTTTTGAAAGTTTCCGATTTTATCTTGACTAGGGCGCCGAACAGTCTAGTTACGCAAATGGTATTTGAAACTACTTTAAACGTAACTAATGCAATCTAACTAAACAATATGCTATTTTACAACTCTTGCAATACTAATTGATAAGGCCGAGATAAAACTTAAATTAGTCTAATTACAAAAACAAAAAGATTAAATGTCATCATCATCAGCTCACTAAACGTCCCCACCGAGGGGCTCGGAGCCTACCCTATGTTATGCGTGACTCGGCCATAGTTGGGCACGCTGGCCAAGTGCGGGTTGGTTGACTTCACATATATCTTTGAATTTCTTCTCAGATATGTGCAGGTTGCATCACGATGTTTTCCTTCACCATAAGAACGTTGGATAGATAGACATATGTAAATCGGAAATCAAAAACCACATTGGTACATGGCGGGATTCGAACCCAGGACCTGCAGATTGCAAGTCAAGTGCTTGACCTTTGAGCCACCGACGCTCTTGAATGTAACTCAACTAAATACGTGTACTCTATTCAAAATTATAATTAAGGCCCAATGAAGATTGTTTTAGGACGTTTGTTCTAAGTGAGAAAAGACTAGGACGTGGATAAAGTCAATTTTTATTATCCGCATACTCGTCACGTTCTCGTGAAGAACTTGCTATAAAAATGATCTTATGAAGTGAGGTCTCTACTCGTCACGTTCAGGATCCTTAGTTTTTTTATTATACCGTGTCTTATATTCTAATTTTATACAAAAACGGCGACATAAATAAGTTTGGGCACGCTACTTGAATTTTATCCGTAAGTTTTTGGGGCACAAACGGTACGAATGTTATTAAGTCAAGAGAAAAGTTAAGCACTTTGCTGTGAGACGTTGAAAGGACTACACTTTTATTTTTCGCAAATTCGTACAACGTTTTAATCCACATTTCTTTATGAGTTGAATAACCATCGAAGTAAAGAGAGCTCAAGGGACAAAGACGTGAAACATTTGTTGAAATTGTTTCATTTAAATATTTTCTAGAAATCCCCTTAAAAAATTTCGTCTATTCCGTAACTAGAAAGAACTAAAAGTGTTATGTATGGCCATAAAGATAAATAAAACTATGATGATACTAAAGAGCATACAATCGAAGACAAAAGTAATATTTATAACTAGTTTACCAAAAAAAAGTTAAGCAAATAAAACTATTGATAGTATGTCAGGAGTGGCATAGTTCTATTATAGCAGTACAATACGTATACACGTAGCAAAAGCAATGGTGCCCGACTGAGCCGTCACTCAACATTACAATGCGACCCGAAGGTTTTGCATGAAGCTAAAAATCTGCTCTCAAAAAGGTCACGAGCGTAACATAATCCAGCTGTCAAGTCCCTTACCATTTGTTCTTATATACGCTGACTTTATCTTAAAAGAGATTAAGCAATGATCTCTAGTGGACATATTAAGCTAAATGAATGAGGAAATGCGAAAATGTGTATCAAAATTCTGTGAAAATGGTACTTTTAGGCCATTGAAACAAAATTATGACATCGTTATATCAACTGTATGATATATCAGTGTATTGTGGTAAATTGGAATAATCACCAGAATATCAAAACTAT